CTAAAGACCATTTGAAATATTCAGATACAGTGCTTATCACTATCGTTTGTGAGTTCTTATATTCCTCCAAAACCAATCTTCTAATCTTGAAAGCAAAAAGGGGTTAAATTGAATTGTATCTCTATACATTCGAGAATCCTACCATGAAAAAACAATAAAAAAGATGTTGTCATCATAAATAAAGTGTGGGTAAAGCCACATGTGAGGCAATCACTCATTGCATAGAGGAAATAGGAACGGTTCAACTGAGCATCGGTTCGTGACTGTACGATGTGAGTTATCTAGTATAATCTCTCACCAACGACAGTGTCGTTTGAGAATTGTGGTTGAAGGTAGGGGTGGGCATCAGTTCGGTCAAAATCGAACAAAAATGAATCATATGGGTCCCCTCGCTTGCACTGCATCTCCACACATATAGAGGTAAAGTAGTTAAAAAAGCCCTTATGCTAGTGCTAATGTTCAAAAATTGCTCTTGTTTGATCAAGGCTACGTATAAACCCACTTGTCTAGCGGTAATACCATTAATTTTGAACCTAGAGGTCTAACGTTTGAATCACTTAAGTAGTACTTAATTACCAAAAAGTAAACATGTATCACCTTTATAAAAAAAGGCAAAATACAGTTGTATATCCACAACTATCAGGTTTGTGACAAATATATCCACAACTATTGAAATACACGAAATATTCATTTTCATCCACTCAAATAACTCCATCAGTTAACTTGATGAATGGACAGATAGTGGATGCTTAGTTGGCATGTTTTTGACCCCACTAAATGATGTGGATTAAAAGAGAGAAAAAATTTAGGCAAAATACAATTGTATATCCACAACTATCAGGTTTGTGACAAATATATCCACAACTATCGAAATACACAAAATATCCACAAATCGGAAGGTTGTGTGACAGATCTATCCACTTTCGTCTGAAACTAAAACGGCATGTCAGACGGCGTTAAATTGACTAACGGAATGTTGAATCGATGCCATCTCACCTGCCACAAAAGCCAAAAAGCAACCAAACTTTACACTGTTATCTGTTAGACCTCGCTGCTGCATTCTTCTCTGTTGGCGATTTGGTTAGATTCAAGCTTTTTTGTTTGAGATTCAAACTTGATATTACCATGCCGCCGACTGCATCGAAGCCGTCGGAGTAAAAGGGAGGCAATGGTTGGGGATTGTGGTTGGAATCAAAATCTGGGCGTGGGGTAGGGTTATTTGGGGGTGGAGACGTCGATCGGAGGAGGATCAGTGGTTATCGAGAGTGTTTTTGGGTTGGATTTTTAGTCTCGTCGTCTGTGGTTTTTAGGGGTTTTAATTTTTTCTCTTTTAATCCACGTCATTCAGTGGGGTCAGAAGCATACCAACTAAGCATCCACCGTCTGTCCAGTCATCAAGTTAACTGACGGAGTTAACGGAGTGGACGAAAATGGATATTTCGTGTATTTCGATAGTTGTGGATATATTTGTCACAAACCTGACAGTGGTGGATATATTTGTCACAAACCTGATAGTTGTGGATATACAGTTGTATTTTTCCTTTATTCAACTAGCCTATTTGGCATCTACGTGCAAAGTTTGGTTGCTTTTTGGCTTATGTGGCAGGTGAGATGGCATCGATTCAACATCCTGTTAGTCAATTTAACGCCGTCTGACATGCTGTTATAGTTTCATACAGAAGTGGATAGATTTCTCACGCAACCTTCCGATTTTTGGATATTTCGTATATTTTGATAGTTGTGGATATATTTGTCACAAACCTGATAGTTGTGGATATACCGTTGTTTTTGCCTAAAAAAGTACAAAATTGGCATGCTACGTATTAAAGCTACTATGTTGCTCTCTTCATAAGCGCTCTAATACCAGCCTACTATGATACCACTATGAAAACGCGGATCTAGAGTGTATGTGATATGGTTCGGGAATTGGGAATCCGATTTAAGTATAGGAATTTGAGAAATATTGGGAATAGAATTAGTTATTTAGAGAATAGCTTAGAGTAGAAGAAAGAGGGAAGAGAGAGGGAGAGGGATTGGCCGAACCGACAAGTTCGACGAACGGAAGGGAGAGATCGAGAGTTTAGGAAAATTATACTCATGATTATGCTTTCTGAATCTAGTCCGTAGTTACAATATACAAATCTCAACAAATTTCCTTAGAGGTTGTTTGGGTGTGGGTTTTGGATGAGCGATTTCTTCCAAATCCCTCATTCAGCCGAATTTTACTACATTCATTTGTTTGGAAAGTCATAAAAATCAGAGATTTTTCACCTGCCGGATATAGTAAACACACATATGTAGGATTTGAAAATAGTTGAACCCATTCAGCTATTTTCAAATTCGTCATTATTTTCTTATACTTCCATCTATAATCCTCAAACATAAATGCTCTTCCATCTCTTCCCCAACAGTCAATCTGTCGTCGACCACCACTATTGGAGCTGGGAACACCGTTGGAAAAGACAACATTAAAGCTGGGAACGTCATGGATTAGCGAGGGAGCAGGAGACTGAATAAGAAGTAGGAGGCTGCTTGATTTCTAGATATTGGCGCAAATGTCTGAGGCTCGCGCGGTCGCTGGGGAAACGATATATCTGTTTGGAGTTTTCGAGTTGGGGCGTTTTGGAGAAAGAAAAACCAAAGGGATGAGGGAGATGAAGGGGCAATTTGTCTTTCTATAATTAGGGTACAAATCCTAGATGTTTAAACAAATAAGTGAATTGGCTCAAATAACTCATTTAAATTTCTTGAATTTGTAAGTGAATTAGTTGGACTTAATTCTCTCACAAGCCTCTCACACCAAATTTACTCATCCAAACGAGTACTTAAATTGCACATAATTACCCTTAGTACGAGAATACCAAATAACACTAAACCCCCCCTAAAAAGCACTAAAATATTTCAGCAATAACAAAAATATCACAAATCATAAATAATTGTTTAAATATCAAAATGAATGGAAACTAGTTTCCGTCAGATTTACATAGCTATATTCAACTCCACTCTTCATGGTCTATGAGTTTATAGGGAGGCACCAATGATCTTCCACCTATTTTTTGTGCACTATTCGTACTTTTCTAAAGACCTCCCAACCCAAATGTTATAATCTTTTGGAAATTCTTTAATCCTATAAGTCGGCCAACAATTATTATTATTATTATTATTATTATTATTATTATTATTATATAACTAATGGTGCAAGTGCTCTCCACTATTCATGACGAAATTTTAGAGAATAATTACTTTTTTATGCCGCAAGTACTATTCGCAAGAGGTAATTATCATTATCACATACACCAATTTCACCATAAGATCTGTTTAATATTTTTATTATATTGAGGTTTTTCAAAGTTAGTTTTTTTACTTAATGAAATAATTATATTTTCTTAACCTGATTTCATTTCATACTTTTTATTGTGAGACTAAACAGTACCAAAGATATGTGTAACGCTATTCTTTACAAGTTACACTACAAGAAACCCGATCTAGAGAGATAAATAATCAGACGCAATTATTGTTTTAGTCTCCATAACTATCTTTTTGAAGCAAAAATATTATTTGTCTCTACATGTTATTGTATTTGTCTCGAATTCCATTAATAGAGGCAAATACTATTTGTATCTGTATTTGTCTCCAAAAGACAGAGGCATATGATTCAAATAATATATTTGCATCGAAAGACATATAGAAGCAAATAAGGGACATTTAGATGCAAATAACCTCTCTCTCCGAAGCCTAGTTTTCATGGAGTGTTACATAATCAAATGTTCTATTTCCTTAATGTGATTTCATCATTAGACCATAAACTCTTTATCATTAGACCACATAGTGACCACACAGTATGAAAATTTTGTGTAAAACTATTCTATAACAGTTATGAAATTAAAAGTACGAAAGATATGTGACGCACTATTCTATAATAGTTATGTAATTACAAATATATTATAAAAATCTCTCAGTTTCATCATAAACTCTATATCATTAGATCAAATATATAATAAAAAGCTCCCAGTTTTATCATAAACTCTTTATCATTCGATCACATAGTACGAAAGGTTTGTTTAGTATACTATTCTACAACTATTACGTAGTCGAAAGCAACTATTATGTAATTATTACACATATGTTAATCAAGCTCCCAAATTCATCATTATTTATATAATATAATTTGCATTACAAAAAGGTTCTGTAAGGAAAGTTGTTTTTACATAATAATTTGATCAAATTTGATACTTTTCTTAACTTGACTTTATTATCAAACCACATATTACAAAATATTTATGTACTATAAAATTTATGCAATTAAAAATATATTTTATAAAGCTCCCAAATTGAACATAAACTCTTTATTATTTGTGTTACACTTAGGTTTGTATGGTCCGTGGTTTTATACATAATAATTGTTTAGTCAATTACAATATTTTGTTAAATTAATCTTATTATTAGATAAAAAAAAATATGAAAGAAAGATATGTATAACACTAGACTATGACAGTTACGTAATTACAAATATATTATATAAAACTGCTGAAGAGGTAATTATTCCTTACATATCACTTAGAAAAGCATATTGCAATTATTCTATAACTAAATTTTATTATTAACTAAAAAAATTATCATCTTATCAATTTGCAATACATAAATGTTAAGCAAGGTAAGTTATTCTTTTACATAACATACATTGTAAATCTTATGGAGGATTTTTTTTATACCACTTAAACAAACATATGGTTTACGTATTTCGTGACAATTAAAAAGTATAATTAGTTTCTTACTGCATCCAATCAAGGCAAAAAAACTAGTCATGTTTAAATCAAATGTTTGTGCAAGCAAGGCTACCAAATTAATAAGAGTTATCTATAGTAGAGGTACATTACCGATACTTGTATCTTCCGTCTCAGATAAATCAGTTTAGAATTTTTTCTTTCCGTCATTCCGATACATTGAGGATTCTTTGAAGAACGACATCATAATTGAAAATTGAAACTCAAGCACAATGAATTTATAACTAAACTTTATTAGATAAGACAAGTATCAAATGTGTATTTCAAATGAGATAACAATCCAAGTATATCTAAAACTCAATTTGTTCCAAAAGGGTACATCTATACATGTGAAATCATATTGAAGCAGAATCCGTTAACAAAACTCAGATCAGAAGGTATCGGGAGAAGGAGCAATTGCAGCAACAATAGTACCATCATCCGAAAAATTAAAAGCAGGGGAAAACAGAGGAGAACCAACTGGGGCTCCAATGGCACCATTTCCTTCTTCAGCAGTTCCCATAGCACCACCGTCGATTGCAGCACCTGAACTCTTGGGCAGAATGTACAATGCGCGACGAGGAGCACCATTCCCCATGTTGCAGATATCATGCAAGTTCATTCCTGCGCGCACCATTGTGATATTTTCAGCGTCTGGTTTAGAACATTGCAGGAAGTTGTACATAGTTGAGTAATTATGTACAAAATATTTTACCTTCAGCTTGAGCCAAGTTGGAGTAGAGATCGAGGATGTTGGGGCAATAGCTGAAACAGGGCTGGGAGCAGAGCTTGGCAACGAAGTTAGGGGAGAGGAGGTAATCAGAAGAGATCCCGACGGCCTTTCTGTCAAGGCCGCAGTGGTTGATGCATGCTTCTGTCTCGATCCATCCGCTCATCGTCTCAACAACCACTTCCGATGTCTTGCATTGGTACTTCACCATCCCCTTCCTGGCCAAGTAGTTCTCCAGCACGCATCTCTTCCCTGCGTCGGAGATGGAGTAGGCGCACAGCTCTACTGGCAGCTCCTCGCACATCATATCGCCGAGGGCTCCGTTAAGGATCAGAAGGGAAGACAGAGCAAAAAAAGCGATCATCTTCAGCAAGGAGGCAACCATGTTTAGTTGTTTCTGGTTACTGTAGTGTGTATTGGTAATGGTGAAGGACTGAAGAATGTATGTATTAGAAGGAAGGTAGGATGATGGAATGTAGAGAGATGTGGATGTATATATATAGCTGGGCTGGGCTGGGCTGGGCTGGGAGAGGAAACAATTTAGTTACCGGTCAAACTATGTATGCAAGTAAAGGCCGACTCCATTCCCAGCTATAGAAAATGCAGAGGAAAAATTCATATATGAACATAGATAGATGAGAAAGGGAAAGGAATGAGAAGGCAGTTGGGATTTTGGCCGGATACAGGCTTTCATTTTCTTTTTCTCGTTTTGCTCTTTTCGTTTCTGTTCTGGATCGATTAGGGTGGCGGATCTTTTAAGGCCGTATTGTTCGCATCACTTGCCATATGACATCTCTAGCTCTCTCGTGAATATCACATCAGGCATCAGCTAGCTGGCTAGCAGTAGCATACATGCGTTATGATTGTGAAGACGTATAAGGGACAAACATGCTGCCACGATGGCAACACGACGGGTGGACACGTGGCATTGGGCATTAGACTCGTCAATGGGTAATGGACAGATTTGTTTTCTGTGTTTGCTGAGACTCTTAGGGGTTGTTTTCAGGAGAGTTTGCGGGTGATGGTTCACTTAATTAGCTCTGGAGCAAACGTTACGTTCTGCTTGCAGGAGAGGAGAGGAACCTTGCCGCTCTAGATTCGCACCCATGGCATCAAACTGTCTGATACAGTTTTCATTCTTCGGGTATTACTAAGCAGACTTCTTTTCATCTTTCTCTTCATTTCGTAAATGACAGATTACTGATTGTTGTTATCAACGGCAGTTGCTTACATACAACATCTCGTAAACAACAATTTTTATAGCTCAGCCGCTTAGGGCATTCCAGTCCAGATGAACTAGCTGTATGTTTAGGACCAATGTAAAGCAAAGCTCCATCCAACAGTGTGAAAAGTTAATATCTTAACAAAATAGTTAACAGCGATGATATGGGAACGGCGGCAAAGACAGCAGAAGGAAAGGAAGACACATCAAGTTGTTGGAGGAGGTACGTAGTAACGTAGTTAACATCGTCGAATGACAGCCAAAACAGCATTCCATTACCATAATAAGCGACATGAACAGACTAGACACAGAGTAGCATATGCTGTCAAATCATGATGTTCACCGCCAATCAGACTGGTAAATCTCTCCAGTATAGTTTGACAAGCCACGGATAATATCATATATGGGAACTTTCTGCTCAACTCCCCCGGCCGGCCCCGTACCACATTCATTTCAGCAGCTCTGAGTTCAACAAACATGGGTGCCGCAGAGAAAAGGAAGCGGTACATCCAAAAGCCAAAATGAAACTTATATCCTAACTTCATACTAACTGCAAAAATCCAGTCCTCTGAACAAAAGATAGAAACAGAAACAGGGGAAACCCTTGGACCTCCTAATAACAGAGTGCCAATTCAACAATGACATAGAATCAAATGCCCCTCGTGCTTACTAGTTCCAGGAAGATAGAAAATGGCATCAGGCAGATTGAACTTCACCCTGCGCAGCAGCTTCCGTCGTTGTCGGACTTGGGGAGTCTACCAATGTTTGATTCAAATTTTTTAAGCCTGGTAGATATTTCCAGCAACGTTTATGTACTCCGCTAATCTTCTTGGCAGCTGCGACTGGTAATCCTGCATTATTAATTTACCCGTGAGATAAGCATCTGATAAAAGGTTATCTAAAAGAAGCAGCTCACAGTATAATTATGCAACAGGTGGTCTTTAACATGGCTAACGATGTTGCTGCATTGCCCAATGCACAAGAATATCAATAGATAAACCTATTGGTTCTTGCGAACAAGGGCTTGGTGCATTGGTATTACCACTGGTCTTAGAACCTGGAGGTCACAGATTCGGCTGGAGATCATAGATAAACCTATAGCTCATTTCCTTTCAGCTCCACTTCTAATCATTAATATCAAGGAAGCTATCATCAGAAACTGAGTATGCAAACTCTACTTGATTTGGCTTATTTTGACTTCACCAGTACGTTTGGTTCACATGTATTGGAGCCTGCTCATACCATTCAAGAGTGAACTGATGACAACCATTTTGAGGCCTAATCAATGGTCTGACCTCTAATGTAGTATTTTCTAAGGACAGGTATATCAGTATAACTAGCAATAGCATCCACACTTTGACCTCACAACTTCAAAACTGAACAGACTAAAAGGGCGAAATAGCCTATAAATACTAATCACTATCCATGTTAATTACCAACCCTGTTTAACAGCATCAACTTAAAACAGACTATGATTTGTTTCAACATTTGTTTTATCAGTTCTGACCACCATTGCAGAGACGTTTTTGCTGGTATTGATCCAGATTTAGATGCTCAAGTGGAATTTGGAGCATTTCAAAAACTAGGAGATCCAACTACAAAAAGACAAGTAGTTTGATACAAGATTTCTCTGTTATTTTTCGCTTCTATTTTCTTTTTTTAATTTCACTTTGAAACAAGATAACGGAGACATTTCGAATCTTGCTCTTTTTTATATTTTCTACAGGGAACATATAGGGAATGATCCTAAATAAACAGGTATGGAAGCTATAATTGTAAACCACGATCGAATCTATGGAAGCATTGGTTTATACATTCCTCTTAGTCCTCGGGGAATTATAACACTAAACCCCCTCAAAAGAAATCAGGGAACCAACCCACCAATACTCAACCAAAAATGGCATCCACTGAGAGTAATGAAAAGGCTGAAAGTTCAGTCAACACTTACCGTCTTTGTAAGCAATCCCCCATGCCTTGCCATGTCTACCGTCCTGCAAAGGACCAACCAACATCAAAACCCTAAACCCATATCAACGAGAACCACATAACCTTAAACGCTATCAATACTCCCTGCCCTCTCCACTTTCGACAAATCTATCATCTAAACCACAGAAATAGATATCAAAATGAATTAAAAGAGGGGAACAAACAGAAAAGAAACCTTGTAAAGGTTGATCTTGGTGATCTCATAAGAGACACTGGTCCAATGAGATTTGGCCAAGTGGTAACCGAGACCCCAATTGGGCAAAAATTGAGCGACCTCGAATAGGTTTTTCTTCTTACGTCGCTTCGATTTCTTGGAAGGGGTAGTAGTGGCAGATGGGGTTTGAGCCGAAGACGGAGCCGAATTCGATGAAGTGCTGAAGTTTCTTAGCAAATTGAAAGAGTAGCGCAAGAAATTTAGGGTTTGATTTGAGGAAGAGGCTCTGTTGGCCAAGCTAGTCGCCATTTTCAGCTCCACGGGCGGCCAGTGTTTTCGCAGGTTGGACGGGAAGCAAGACGCTGGGTTTCTGTGCGTTTGGATGTTGTTCTTATTTACTAAAATCCAGTTTGCTAAAGGGAAGAAAGAACCCTAGTCAGAAAAGTGTCTGGATTGGGGAAAGGAAAAGAGAAACAGACCTAGAAAAAAAATATATATTATGTAATCCTTCGTTAATATATGATAGAGTTTTGTGTACTTTTCTCCATTTCAAATTTCCGAGAGTGAAAGTAGGCAGGTCATTTTTGTCTTTACACATTTATTATTTAAATCATATAAAAAATAGCAATATCAAGATTTGAACTCGAGTCTCTTCAAACAAAGATAACAAGCACAACCAGTTACACTAAACAAATTTATTGCATCCTTTTTATACAAAAAATAGACAAAGTTAATCTCTGAAAATCAGAGGACTTTTTGATCATAATTAGCAAGCTCACTAAGTCTACCATATGTATTTTTATCGAGCTTGATACTTCTATTTTCATAGTAGAGTTTCATGAAATTTTCTCAATTTTAAATTCCCGCTCCCTCCTTAATTTTTGCTAAAGGTAAATGGGTGATTGGCCAACATGGAAGAAACTAATTATGTAACTACTGTTGTATCCTCGCATTTTTCAATTTAAATTTAAATTTTATGTTTTTTTTATCTTTGTTCTTTTCTCTTACTAACTTCCACCGAAATTTCATCCATCGTGCAATAGTTTGCGCCTTTCACTTCCCAGTACAAGACTGTTATTGAAAATCAATCTTCAGGTATCTCTTGGCACTACGGTTTTATTGTTGGGGATTTTAAGCTGGGCGAGTAGAAGATTTCAACTTCGATATCAATTCATGGCGAATAGAATGGAGTTCATCAATAACTGAAGTTGTAGAAGAAAGATTAGAAATTGAATTTTTGGTTGAATATATGCCTCTTGAGATAGAAATTTGGTTGTACAACGGAGAGTGGTGGCTATTGGATCTTTAGGTTTATGGTTTTTGCAACTGTCATAACCTATTTCTATCTTAAAACGAGGAATCATTGATTGATTGTTTGAATTCTTTATTCAACCTACTGGAACTAATAGATAAGGAGTTTCTAATTTTGCGCCTTATTACTTTGATCGAGTCTATTCGTATATTGGAGATAACCCTGATTTTTTCGTTTGCTCTCAAGTTGTGATGGTCCCCTCTTAGCTGAGTTTTTAGTATATAGATGACTTGAATCAGCAACTCTCTATTTCTTTTTGATTAGTGACATATTGTTTCTAAAAGGAGAGCATTGAACCCTTTATATAGGATTGTGAGGTTGAAGATTTAGTTTCAAACTATCTATGGGTTGTGTGAGAATTTCAGTGAGCTTTTATACTCTATATTTCTTGATTGTCAAAGAAAACTAACCAATAGCATTTTAACAGGAACTTAATTAGCATTATGAAAATGGGCTCAATGATACATTTTTATATTTTATATTCTTAAATGATTATGATATTTCTCCGAATGTTCGACCTATATATTATTTCTTTATGTATCATCTCGATCGAATAATTATCAATAAAATTAAACGGGTTAATAGACGTAAAAGTAACATAAAAATACAAATAATCAAATATGAGCATTCCGGCCAAAGGGCCGGGTTATAAGCTAGTTATTAATATATGAATGACCAATGACCTACCACATTAGATACTCATTTGGGAGTGTTACATGTAACGCATTTTTCTACATCATTATCACTTATTCATATGCATTGATATAAGAATGTAGTGGTTACTAAA